ACAGATGAATAGACATCACTGGACAGACGAATAGGCAACAATGGACAGACGAGAAGATAACAGCGGACAGACAACACTGGGCAGACGAATAGATAACAAACGACAGATGAGCAGACAACACTGGGCAGACGAATATATAACACTGGACAGACGGGCAGACAACAGTGGACAGACGAACAGATAGCAAAGGACAGATGAATAGACGACACTGGACAGACGAGGAGATAACACTGACAGACGAATAGATAACAATAGACAGACGAACAGATAACAATGGACAGACGAATAGACGACACTGACAGACGAGACAGATAACAATGGACAGACGAGTAGACAACACTGGACAGACGAGGAGATAACAACGGACAGACGAATAGGCAACAATGGACAGACGAGGAGATAACAACGGACAGACAACACTGGGCAGACGAATAGATAACAAAGGACAGACGGAGGGCAGACGAATAGATAACAGCGGACAGACGGGCAGACAACAGTGGACAGACGAGGAGATAACACTGGACAGACGAATAGATAACAATAGACAGACGAACAGATAACAATGGACAGACGAATAGACGACACTGGACAGACGAACAGATAACAATGGACAGACGAGTAGACAACACTGGACAGACGAGGAGATAACAACGGACAGACGAATAGACGACACTGGACAGACACGAACAGACAACACCGGACAGACGAACAGATAACAATGGACAGAGGAGTAGACAACACTGGACAGACGAGGAGATAACAATGAATAGACGAATAGACAACACTGGACAGACGAGGAGATAACAATGGACAGACGAACAGATAACAATGAATAGACGAATAGACAACACTGGACAGACGAGGAGATAACAATGGACAGACGAACAGATAACAAAGGACAGATGAATAGACATCACTGGACAGACGAATAGGCAACAATGGACAGACGAAGATAACAGCGGACAGACAACACTGGGCAGACGAATAGATAACAAACGACAGATGAGCAACTGACAACACTGGGCAGACGAATATATAACACTGGACAGACGGGCAGACAACACTGGGCAGACGAATAGACGACACTGGACAGACGAATAGGACAACACTGGACGAACGGGCGAACAACACTGGGCAGACGAATAGATAACACTGGACAGACGAATAGACAACACTGGACAGACGAGGAGATAACAATGGACAGACGAACAGATAACAATGAACAGATGAATAGACAAGATTACTGGACAGACGAATGGATAACACTGGACAGACGGGCAGATGACAACACTGGACAGACGAGGAGATAACACTGGACAGACGAATAGACAACACTGGACAGACGAGGGAATAACACTGGACAGACGAACAGATAACAATGAACAGACGAATAGAACAACACTGGACAGACAAAATAGGTAACACTGGACAGACGAGGAGATAACAGCGGACGAACAACATTGGACAGACGAGGAGATAACAATGGACAGACGAAAAGACAACACTCGGCAGACGATGAGATAACAGCGGACGAACACAACTGGGCAGACGAAGCGATAACAATGGACACGCGAATGCCCTGGACATGGGACATCTTGGTGTAATGACAGTCACGGCCCTTAGGGTGATCTACTGCATTGAGGCTATAAATGACATGACATACATTTCTGTCAAACAATACCGACTTTACACAAAGGTAAAACAGACTGTAATTCATTCTACGTTATACAAGTAATGATATATAAAAATGGTCTAGACGCTGTAATTCACAGACGTAAATACCTTGTCAAGACAGTGGTATCTCGAGCACTTGACCCTCTTCATGGATATCAAATTATATAAGTATATATTGCACCACTTTCTTGCACTTGCTCAGCATTCACCTAATGGAGCAAGAAGTAGCACTGAGACGTGAGAAAGAATAAAAGAAGTTGTTTTATTACATATATGTTTACTCTTCAAAAACAGAAACGCACAGGTAAAAAATAAGGACATGTATTAAACGTATTTATGGGTAAATAAGTCGATTAAGCTTGGACATAGATGAAGGAAATTCGACACACGGGTGATCACATATATTGTTGTCATTGTCAGCACTAATTCAGTTCACTCACTGTACATGTGTAGACCAACGGGGCGCTCAGGTCAGTACCTGGTGACACCACCCATTGCAGCCGTCACTGCTCGACACCGCCTTAGATGGGATTGCACAAGTCGTCGGATTCTTGCTAGGGAAATTCTTCGCCATTTCTCCTCATTTATGTTATTTGATCATAGCACATCATTTCATCAAGCATCAGGTCGCATACAGCGGCCAATACCATGCAAGAAATCTGGGGATTAAGTGTTGATCAAAGATCAGGAGAATCAAGCTAAAGATGAGTAGGGGGGACCAGTTCTATGCCAGTTTACATAGCTAAAACAATCTTCTCCAACCCTTCTGCATTTGTTAATGAAGCTGTTCTATCAAAACATTTTGTCAAGGATTAAAGAACCTTTAGGATCTAAGGCTAAAAGATGAGTGGGTTTGTCCGTTTTAATGTCCAGGGGAATTATGTCCGGGGAATTCTTCCGGGGATTTTGTCCTGGATTCTTCGAAGAGTGACAAAGAGGATGACCCCACAGACCGCTCTCCACTCCCCCACCGACATTCGGGCTCCAGTTAGAGAGTATTAGGGACTCTCCAGCGTGATACGAGTGTAAATGATATGATATTTAGTACGCAGATCCAACATCAATACATGTTCTAGAACCTTTATCTATCTTTATCTTCCTATCTGCTACAATATAAAAAGTATCGCAGCGGCGTATAAACTAAACTGGTCAGTCAACATCAATACCATGTTCCAGTATAGGAACTTATCTATCTTTATCTTCTTTCATCTCAGGGCACATGGAAAAAGTATCGCAACTCCCCAATCTATTCAGATTACATTTGTGCATCACACTATTGATATACCTGTTTTAACGTGGATGGTGTCATTTACAAAAAGCAAACGGAACTTATCTGGATAAACTTCCATGTAGCATACTATAAACGATAAATCTAAACGGAGATCGAAAACCATCAGTTTACTGAAAGAAGCAAACATGGTAAAACACTGGCTGATTTTGTAGTGCTGATAACTATGGTCGTATAACGCTGATGAGTGCGGTCATTTTTTAGATTCTGCCATACAGTCCTCAACAAACTACTTATTTATCTAAACAAGAGCACGATGTCAATGTCTGGCCCTTCTTCCTACTGTACCCGTGAAGGTCCGGGTTAGAATATTGATCTTCAGTAACCCATGCCTGTCGTAACAGGCGACTAACGGGATCGGGTGGTCAAACTCGCTGACTTGGTTGACACATGTCATCGTATCCCAATTGCACAGATCGATGCTCATGCTGTTGATCACTGGATTGTCTGGTCAAGACTCGATTATTTACAGACCGCCGCCATATGCTTGGAATATTGCTGAGTGCGGCGTAAAACTAAACTCACTCCTTCTTACTGACGTTGAATATGACATTGACGTATTGCGATCCAGTCTTTATGAACGGCTTGTTCAAACACATTTTGTTCTGGTTTGATATCTCTGGCGTATTCTACAACCCATAATGTCCCAAACATGCTCAATGGAACTGAGGTCTAGACTCACCAACACCACCAATGAACCCCTGACAAACGGTACTTGCTTAAAGATGTTCCTTTTTGCATATGGAGTGTTTCTGTATCGGTAAACACTAGCAAGGCCATCTGTCATGAACAAAGGAAGTCGCCTTTCGTCCGAATAGTGGAACCTTACCCATGTCCTCAAATTCCAGTCCATCTCTACATCAAGCTACTCGTGCTGCTTTGTGCGGTAGGACGTCTGATAGGTTCTATCTGTTTCTATACCGGCCGATAGATGTCATAGGGCCGTGCTGTTGGACAAACGACAACGTGGACAACAAACTGATTTTAACACGACACTTGACATGAACGGATGAAGTCTTGAGATGCTGAGGAGGACTGTATCCTCACTCGAAGTCTACCTGAACGCTGACTGTCAATGGTTTGCCGTTTACACTGACTGAGTTTAGTTTTACGCCGCTTTTAGCAATATTCCAGCAATATCGGCGGGGACCTGAACGCCGACAGTCCTTTACCTAAATGGTTTGCCAATGTTTACATGTTAATAGGCCTCATTGACATGCCAACATTCCGCAAACCAGTAGCTGTCAATTAGTGAGGCCTCATAGTACCTGTCAACAACCAAATCACTTGACGTATCGAGCTGTAAGAACTAGAACTTGATAATCACGGGTACACGTAATGCACGCGATGCTCGCCTTTGATCGCAGCACGTGCATATATGAAGTTATGCAATCAATGGATGGTGCGCCCCACGGGCCAAAATAATCATACAACAAAGTTAATGATGATATGAATACGAATGGCTGTACGGAAATAAAAAAATCATAGGCGTTGCGATACTTTTGTCGATGTGTATATTAAATTGTTCTTTATAGTTTTGGTCAAGTTCAGTAGTTTAACTTTATATAACGTCCTTTTGTAACCGCGGAATATTATCAATTGGTTTTCGTTAGGTCCTTGTGGAGTGGATTCTGACATCAGCTTCTGATATCTGAGTTGATATGTATTCGGCTTCCGTAGACTGAAAGTGAAAGAAAGTGATACATGGTATTTGAGACTGATTGAGGAAAGCATCCTCAAGAATGAAACTCTGTAATTCTACTGCCCTAAACAATGCTCGTCTAGATTTCTTGTTCATCACACTGGGTCTCTTTTTCAATTTAGCAGCTTGTTTCAATCAAAATTAATAATATACATGAGCTAAGAGAAAGTCTAAGTAAACTCAGGACTGTCGCACTAACGAAACAATAATAACGAGTGGCTTTAGCTCTACAGACACCAGTATATCACGGTTTGTGTTTCACTGTTGAAGCAACGGCACCTCTAAAATGAATGCTTTTGACACATGTGACAGTGATCACGTGCTCTAAGTTGACAGGTGCCCTACAGATAGGTGAATCCTCGGGCTGGTTGTCAAAAGGTCGGACTGTGGAAGCACTGTATGGTAAGTAGCCGGCGCCTTTAAGGTAGGATAACTGATTAGTTCTTCCAGCATCGTTTAATCAACTATTTCTATAAATTTAGATATTAACAACGTTTCAGTTATATGTATGTTGTGTTGGGACAATGTAATATCTATGTATGTAGTTCAAACATACAATAAATCTGGAGCTAGAAATGCATGACATTTTCAAAACCAAAACACAAATCCCTGACACGAGCTGTCGTAATTCTGTTTATTGTGGCGTGCAAAACATGAGTAGTTCGCTACCATCATGGCATGTTGCTCAGTTTGCGTTCACACGCTCTTCCATATTCATCAAACCAGTTAGTTATTCTGCTCTATAATTGCACACCTGGATAACGCTGACAGGTAGCTGGGGAGATTTACATGCATGAATACTAATATTTTATGACCATCGGAACGGTTAGCAGAAAGGGCTTAATAGCGACAGACCTTGTTCCGTTGATAATATAGGTAATTAATGCATGAAGTATTCAAAGAATGTCGCCCATTTGGTCCATTAATATAGATCATTTACAAAAAAACGAAAACAGAAAGGGGCCGAGAATACATCCCAGGCGAACGCCAATGTTTCTTCTTAATGTCAAAGATATTCAGAGGCATTGCTCCGAAAATATACTTGTATATTCTGATACATACTGAAAAACAATTTTTACCTGTCTCTGAAACAGGTCTTTTCACACGGTCAAATGGCTTTTTAAATCCACAAAAAAGCACACCTCTTTAATGAAAGATATATCAAATTTTGTTTTACATAATGTAGACATGTTGCCTGTGATTTTATAAGCTATTCTAAAACCAGCATGTGATTCGTTTTATAAGAATATGCCCACAAACAAATCGCTCCTTGAAGGGAGAAGCAAATACCGCACTAATGACGCTAAAAGAAGTGACTGTATTTTTAAACATCAACTATTGGTTACAGAACGTAGTATTGCCTTTAACGAACACGAAGAAGCCTCTCGATTGGATACTAACGTGTTTTGGCCATCAGAACACTATATAGATAGGAGAAAGGGCTTGGTAGTGACAGGCCTTGTTCATGTAGATCATTTACAAAGAACGAAACATTAATATAGATAATTTACAAAGAACGAAACATTAATATAGATCATTTACAAAGAACGAAACATTAATATAGATCATTTACAAAGAACGAAACATTAATATAGATCATTTACAAAGAACGAAACATTAATATAGATCATTTACAAAGAACGAAACATTAATATAGATCATTTACAAAGAACGAAACATTAATATAGATCATTTACAAAGAACGAAACGGAAAAGGGCTGAGAGTACATCCCTGGCGAACGCCAATGTTTCTATTTAATGTTTCAGATATTCAGAGGCATTGTTCTGAAAACATACTTTCATATTTTAAACATACTGAACAACAATTTTCCAATTTTACCACTATGTCTTTGAAACAGAAGGTCTCTTCACAGGGTAAAGGGGGTTTTTAAAACCCACAAATAGAGCGTACAACTTTCCCCCTTTACTGAAAGATATATTACATTTTCTTTTACAGAATGTAGAAATGTTGCCTTGATCTAATAATCAGCATGTGATTCGCTTTATAAGAATCTGCCAAGAAAACAAATCTCTCCTTGAAGGGAGAAGCAAAAGCCTTACTATATACTCTAAAAAGAATGATTCCTTTGTATTTTAACATGAAATATTGGTTACAGAACGTAGTATAGCCTTAAATGAACACGAAGAAGACTTTCAATTGGAACATTGTTTGTTCATGAAATATTTCAGATATATTATTCAGCATATCCAATACATGGGCAGCTCATATATTACAAATAACGACATGCTAACACTGCGTTTGCATTCATCATGTTGGAATATAATTGAAGTTCATATGAACATTCACCCGTGAAGATCCGGGTTAGAATTGATCTTCAGTATTCCATGCTTGAGGCGAATAACGGAATCGGGTGGTCAGGTTCACTGACTTGGTTAACACATGTCATCGTACCCAATTGCGTAGACCGATGCTCATGCTGTTGATCACTGGATTGTCTGGTCCAGACTCGATTATTTACAGACTCCCGCCATATAGCCAGTATGATATCAGCGATGATGTTTCTGGTATTCGGGTATTCACGAGTATCCACATGTCAAGGAGCGATGGATTAGCCTAGTGGTTAAAATGTTCTCTGGTGAACATCCTGATTAGAGCTGTTCTTCAGTAACACATGATTGTCGTAAGAGGTGACTAATGGGATTGGGTTGTAAGGTTCCCTGACTTGACCGATGCAATGCCGTTGAATACCAATTGCGTAGATAGATGCTCATGATGTTAACCCCTGGGTTGTCTGGTCCAAACACGATTGTTTACAAACCGCTGCTTTATAGCTGGGTTGTTGCTGAGTGTGTCGTTAAACAACAACAACAACAACAAATATTTTTAAAAACCCAGGAAACTCGACAAGGAATTAGGCGCCTCGGTCCACTGGGCTACCCATGCAGTTGATTGATGAACACACACACACATACGTTTACTACTGAAACTACACATTTTGAGCTACAATCCTCGATATGTGAAACAATGAACTGTCCTTGTCGTTATTTGAGCATGATAGGAAGACTAATAATGTTTTACACTTGAGTAGTTTTACCTTACGTAAGTTGATATATTCGGTCATTTCAGCACGGTCGCGTACCGATCCGTCGAATTTCTGTGTATTCCCATACCTGATTTCAATGTGGTAAAATGCATTCGACGGATGTGATCTGTGATCTTAGCTATTAATTAGTTATCAAAACATTGGATCATACCAAGATAGAGACGCAAAGGGTGTTGGATGGTTTGACTCTCTTTATTTTTGCACTTTTGTACTTATCTTTGCCTACTCATATGGGCAGAATATTTATTTTTTGTGTTTCTCATCGACCGACCGACCCTAATTATATTGCCGACCAAAAATAAAAAAACTTTTTTTTTATTTCAACACCGCCGACTCGAACCTAGAACGTACCGACTCGTCATATAAAATGTTACCACGCAAAAAAAAGTTATGACCCTTGACAACAGACCGACAATGATGTCTGCTACTCGCATAGCAAACGAAAACGATAGCAAGAGTTATAATTTAATACACAAGCGTAATGTTACGTTACGTAATTTGTGTTCTGTTATTTGAGCACGATAGCAGAGTTACAATTTAATACACAAGAGTAATGTTACGTAATTTGTGTTCTGTTATTTGAGCACGATAGCAGAGTTACAATTTAATACACAAGCGTAATGTTACGTTACGTAATTTGTGTTCTTTTATTTGAGGGGGCGGTGGGGTAGTCTAGTGGTTAAAGCGTTGGCTCGTCACGCCGAAGACCCGGGTTCGAATCCCCGCATGGGTACAATGAGTGAAGCCCATTTCTGGTGTCCCCCGCCGTGATATTGCTGGAATATTGCTAAAAGCGGCGTGAAACCAAACTCAGTCAGTCAGTCAGTCTGTTATTTGAGCACGATAGCAGAGTTACAATTTAATACACAAGAGTAATGTTACGTTACGTAATTTGTGTTCTGTTATTTGAGCATGACCAAGAGACACTAGGCAATATGACACTAGAGTAATTTTACCAAATGAGTCATTGTTAACCGTTTTATATTCTAAATGGAAGAGCCTGTGTTTGTTTAGAATAAGCACAGGTTGAAGAAAATTCTGATTCTTCTACTGACATACGCTCATGTAATACAAAGCTGCACTGTGCACTGATGGAATGATTACCTTTTTACCTGCTTCTTGTCGATTTCCAAATTACAATAACAGCAACCGAGACATCTGTACGTAAAGGCATTTGGTATGGCACCAGCAAACAAGTGTATACAGAAATGGTACACAATGTACAGTTGTATTATGGAATTAACCCGGTTTACAAATCAATTTTAATTATTGAAAGGTAACTTTAATAGTAGACTACAAATTTACTGGGAATACAAGTGCCAGTTTAGAATAAAACAGCGCTTGTAATAGCCAAAATCAGTGATGATATATTTCCCGTAGAAGTATCAGTCCTCCAGCTTCCAATATACCTCTAGTTTAGATAATAATAGTCCATTTATTATGAACTCAAGGTTCAAATTCGGACTACCAGAGGCAGTTTTTGAACACAACTCACATGCCTAAGGTGACCACATGTGGTTCATTGTGGGGCAGGGCTGAAGTCCTAGAAACTCTCAGGAGTCAAGCTGCCAAACATTCAAGGACTCGCCGCGCCCAACGTTGCTTAACTTCACAGATTGTGACCTCAGCTGTACGCACAGGACCACACACCGCCACACCGCCATGATGTTCGGGAGCAGGACAAAAGCCGCCCGGACAAAAGCCACCCGGACAAATGCCACCTAGGACAAATGCCACCTAGGACAAATGCCACCTAGGACAAATGCCACCCGGACAAATGCAACCTAGGACAAAAGCAACCTCGGACAAATGCCACCCAGTTATTTTACCATTACTGAGAGGACAATTACCACCCTTCTTGGCTTTAATGTTGATTTTGTTGTAAAATTATGTGGACTTTGATGAATAATTTGGTTTCTTATATAAAAATATTCACTTTGAAAAATGTCGATTTTGATGTAAAGTTATGTAGACTTCGATGAATCATTTGGTTTCTTAAAAAAATATTCACTTTGGTAAAAAAGTTGATTTTGATGTAAAATTGTGATTTCATAGTAATGTTGACTTTTTAAAAATGTTAATGTAAATGGATTTAAAACATGACTTGACCTTGAATTTGGTGAGAAGCCTGTTATAATAGCATTCTTTTGAAAGTAAGGCTAACTAAACACATGGGGAGATAAATAGAATAAATCCTTTGGTTAACAAAACTACTTAGCCTGTCGGAGTAGTATTAAGAGGAGATGTTATGATAAGATGTAAGCAAGGAGGATTAATTTTAACGAATGTATGTAAATAACATTTACAGAAGAATACTATACCACCAAAATAAAATAA